GATATAAGGCTGGCATGCAGCTGCTCAGCCATGGAAACCCATGCTATTCATGCACCTCAGCACTCAGCCATGCTGCTCTGTAACTTCATGTGGACTTACACTTCGTGGCTGAGTTGTTGTGCAGTTGTTGTGGTTTCTAAACACTTCCACTTTTTAATCTCCAGCAGGGAAGAAATTTTGTGAACTGACTTGTTGCAATGATGGCATTCTATTACAGTACCATGCTCAAATTCAGTGAGTTCTTTAGAAAGACCCATTCTTTCACAAATACTTGTAAGGGCTGCATGGCTAGGTGCTTGATTTTATACACCTGTGACTATGGGACTGAATGCAACACCTGAATTCTGTGACTAAAAGGTGTGTCCCAAAACTTTTGTCCCTATAGTGTAAATCTCCAGGACCAGAGACCATTGGGAACCCCTGATCTGAAGCAAGGATGTGAAGATTTTAGCATGTATTTGTGGAAACAGGTTTGGTGCCCATTCAGCATTTGTTAGCACCATTAGCCTGGCAGCTCCAATTCTAAACTAAAGAAGCAAAACTCGGACACCAAACATGTTTTGCTGACTGACTGCATTTGGGGTAGGCAGAAAATCATGTAAATTAGATTTTTACCAAACTATTCCAGTAAGTAAAATTAGATCTCTCACTCTGTCTAAAATACAGAAACACTAATGGCATCAAGCTGCGCAACTCTTTAGGATAAACAGCGTTTGCCGCAGATGTGTTTTCTAAATGTTGTCCGCAGAAGCATGAACCCAGTGACACCTAGTCTGATTGTCATTAAGCATAATATACTTGTTTACTGCAGTTCACTGAAACAGACCACAGAGACGGGTAGATATTGATTAGCATGGTGCAATAAGAGTAATTGTAAAGTGGAGATTACTTGGCAAATCATGCTTTAACATCACTTTTTGGGTGCTTGTGGCTATATTCTTTTTCTTATTATTACTTTCACACAAAGATAAGAGGCTTAAATTGTGTCTGTGTGGGATCTTCCAGCTGGACAGTAAAAAGACAAAGGCCATTGTGTAAACCAATACGATGTATTCAGGAAGAGCCTGCATATAGTCATATGGAAATTTTTGAGCACCCCGGTATAATAATGTTTTTATAATGTAGAAACATGTACACATTCTTTACAGAGAACGCACTGCACATTTTAATGCACCATTACTGTTTATTTGCTGAATTTAACATATTGAGTTTTTAATTGTGCGAACGCTATTGCACATTTTCTCCTTCATGTTTATTTTTTTCCAATATGTTAAACTCTTGCACTAAAATTAGAAGAAAATGCCACATTAAATTGTGTTCTCTGTAAAAGAGGAAAATCAACAAAATGTATTATTTGTGCCACTTCAAACTTTTGCATATGACTGTAGCCGGAACCAAGCATTCAGTGCTATTAGCACAAAATACTAAAACTAGATGGGCCTGTGACAAGTAAAAATGTTCACAAAGTCACAGAATACGTAAAAGGCCATTTGCAGAGTTGTTGGACACAGGTGACCAAATGAAGTTTTGTTACTTGAATTAATACTAAATCAATCTACTGTTAACTAATCTATTATTGGCTAACAATCTTCAGACTGATGCTGAATAAACAACACCTTTAATCACTTTGTCAAAATACATGTGACAGTATGAATAATAGTCATATTATTTGTACATCGTAGTATAGAAAGGTAGCAAGAGAGAATGATAAAAATTGTTCTACACAAAATACCCAGCATTATTAGATAAATATTATTTGATTATTTTTATTAGTAGTAGTAGTGGTAGTAGTGGATGGGATACTCATGTGCACCTTCATTTCTAGCAGGATTGATCACTGTAATGGTCTCCTAACTGGACTCCCAAAAATGACAATCAAATAGCTTTATTTGATTCAATATGCAGCTGCAGGAGTTCTCACTAGGAGTAAATGGAGGGAACACACCATGTGTTCTAAATAGAACTATTTCATGAATAAATGGTTCTTTCCATGGTGAAATGGTGTTTTATATGGTTCTATATAGAACCTTTTTGAAAATGGTTCCATATAGCACCAGAAAGAGTTCTTCTTTTGTCACAAGCTTGACCTTATTATCATTATTATTATTGTGACTCTATATTTTGTGTAGGAAAATGACATTTCGGAGTTCTTCATCATTCTCTCTTGCTGGCCTTCTGCTCTTTGAGGAATATGTTTTATGTCACGGGCTTTTCACGCTTCTTCTTCACACTAGAGGGAGGTGCGTGTCTCAGCGCTGTTACGTAAGAAGGTTGCGGTGATGGATTACAGCAGAAATGATCGGCGCTGTCAGGGTCGCGTGTGAATGGTCTACACACAAAACAGGCCGCCTCTCTTCTTACCCGGAGAACACAAGTGCGCTGCTTAAATCAGCCGTATTTACCTGTACATCACGTTGGATGTCCGCACGTGTGGAGTGCAGGCGCTTTCTATAGCGGCGCTTGTCCATCCGGGTCCTGGAGCACGTCAGCGCTCTGAACGTCCACGAGATTTCACATCCTAGAGCTCATTGTTAATTACACACGGTGAAGAAAGAACAGCAGTGTAAAAACATTTGTTGTTTTCGGTTATAAATGTGTGTCCTGGCTCTCTTAATTGTTTGAGTTAATTTAATACTTGTGATAGTAAGTTTACAGAACAGTGTTCGGTATGGTGCGTTCTGTCAAAGTGTTATTTGAAGAATAATACATTTTTTTACCATTGCATGAAAATAATGCAAAATTATGTAGTCTTCTAGTTGCAGCAGTGAGTAATAACTTTGCTTGAATGATACGTAGCTATTGGGTTGTGTCAGGTGTGTTGGAGCAGGAACATCATTAAAAGTATTGACACCCCTTGTTATTAGTGAATTCAGCTACTTTAAAGCCCCTGTCACCATTGTTTCAAATGTTTAAAGTTTTGTTTTGATAATAAAGATATGTAACAGAAAAAAACGTTTACCAGCGTTACATTCAAGAAATATATACAGAAGTCTGGAGAGGCCATGAGCTGTTGCTATAATTTTCTGGATTTTTATCTTGAGATAAGGAGTTAATTATGTTGTGATCTCAAGATAACAACTTTATCTTGAGATCCCAAGATAATTAACTCAAAATAACAAGATAACTAACTCGTTATTTCAAGGTAACATTTGTTATCTCAAGATGTTCTAAAATATGTGGGCATGTCAGGATACATAATACATAATAATTGACAGTGGCATCTCCCTGGCAACATAAACAACATGACACCAGCGGCAGTGGTGACGACACCACCAACGATGCTGTACACTCTTTAAAAAGATGGTTCGTTTGGGGTTCTTTAGTAAAGACAATTGTTCTATATAGAACATAGAAGCTTTTTGAAAACAGTTCTATAAGGGTTCTTCTGCTATTAGAATGCCAAGCTTGTAACAATAGAAGAACCCCTTTTGGTGCTATATAGAACCCTTTTCAAAAAGGTTCTATATAGAACCATCTACAGCACAATCTCCATCAATCTCAAGAACCTTTCAGGATGCAAAGAATCCTTTAATCATGCAAAGGGTTTTTTCTTCATGATTCTATGTAGAATCATCTTCTTTACTAAAGAACCCTTGAGGAAGCAAGGTGTGTAGAGTAGCACACTCAGAACAAAGTATCAGTGTAATTCAGACTTACACCTTTGATTTTGAAGAAAAAGAGACCCCTCATAGGAAAACAGACCACATCACTCTTCCTGACTGGTCTCTAAAAGGTGAGTAAAAAACTGCAAAATGGAAAACAGGCTGTCTAATTGTCATTTTAGAGATTTGTGTACATTTTGTAGCTAATGATTGATAACTCATGCTTTCATCTTATGACAGGTAGGTCATGGACATGTCATGTCAGATATCTGAACACTCAGCACTCATGTTACATTCATAACCTATAGGAGGCTAGCTAACTACTGGACTGTGCTTCTAAAATGAAGGTCACACAAGCTCCTGTTACAAGTCAACACTCATATTTGCAGACACTGTGGAGAAATTCTTGTGTGTCTGATTGTGTGCTGTGCATTTACGTATACATATTGCTATTTCTGATTGGTACTAGATCTGCCATCACCTGCACCAAATTTAGTCCTGCCCAACTCAAATAGAACAAGAAAATGGCAGAAAAAAGTCATTCTCAACAGAAAAGACCAACAACATTCTTTCTTTGTCTGAAAACATCACAAAAACAATAAATAATAGTTAGAAGAAAATCATGAAAATGAGTAGACTGGGGCTTTAAGGTGCTGCTGGCAATATATTTTATTATCTCTATAGGAAAGGACTGCCAATAGAATGGTAGGAGACAGGTTACCATGCCCAATGCCAAGTGTCGGCTAAAAGGGGTATAAAGCGCCTCCCAGAATCAGGCAATGGAGCAGGTTTGAACTGCAGAACTGCAGATTTGGGATTAGTTAAAACAGAAGAATTAATCAGCCAACATCAGTACTTGACCTCACTAATGCACTTGTGGCCAAATGCAATCAAATCCTCTCAGCTATGTTCCTACATCTAGTATAAAGCCTTCCCAAAAGAGTAGGGGCTGTTATTGCAGCAAAGGGAAGGGAGTCCCTATTAATACCCTTCATTTCAGAAGAAATGAGCAGGTATGTGCAGAGTTTTGGACAAATAGTGCACTTCAGCACCAGGATCGATAAAAACTCATTACTAGTTTAGTGAGATGTGGAAATCTTAGAAGGTGTTGGCTTTGTTTCAATTCAGAATAAATGGACTCCGACACTTCGACTAAATGGTGCTGATTTACACTAATTTAGAGGGTGGATAAACATTAAAGCCTGTTGTTGTTATAATGCTAGCAAAATCATGGCGCCTGGTTATACAAATCTGCATTAAATGAGATTAAAGAAAACTGGTACGTTGCCTCTCTCAGTATTAAGCATGCTCTGTCTTAACATCACCCACTCACAGAGACAGAGAGTGAGTGAGTGAGGGGGAGGGGGGGAGCGCGCGACCGAGCGAGAAAGAGAGAGAGCGAGAGAGTCTTGACGTCATTCAGGTTTATTAGCGGTCTTCGCGGTTCCCACAAACACCAGTCACACTCTCCTTGTGCTCTGTGCAGAAGTGTATGGTCAATGCCGTGCTTGGCCCCCTTCTACATTAGTTCTCCCATGCCCGGGAACTGGAGCAGGAACAAGGGTTTTACCTAAGAGAGCGCTGAAGGACCAAGAAGCAGCCTATTGACCAGTTTTTGCAAGGAAGGCGAGTCCAGTTTTCCTCCATGTGAAGAAAAGGTACGCACAAAACTGATACTCTATGCATTAGTTGATTTCTGGGGTAGTTTTTGTGGTTTCTTATCGTTTTACATTTTCAACCTTGCGTTGATCTCCGTAAGCGTGCAGCCCGCCTGTTTTGGAGAAGTCCCTCGTTTCAGCACCGCGGACAGCGCCGCAGCCAGTTTAACTCCATTTGGTTTCATGTTTAAAAGATTCAAACCTATCGCGCTCAGTTTTCTTTAACAGTCTGTAAAAGGCATTGCCTTTAATCTCAGCTCTTTCGCGAACAAACTAATATCCATCACGGTTTGTTTTTCTGTATAATAATTCTAACTCTCTTTTAATGCCTATAAAATTAGCTGCATTAGCTGTCCAGTCTTCGTTTTTTTTCCCTTTTTTTCATTAAACGGCTCGTTTGAAGGCTAATCTAACTCGTTTAACTTATGCATCCATCACGCATTTTGTCCCTCTTGCTTGACTTTACATTAAGACCCTTTCTGAACTTTCTTTCAGGGCGATCACCATAGAGATGAACGAGAGCGCAACAGCCAATGAGAGTTTAGCGGGGCTTTCCGTGGCCTCGTGGGTGGAAGCCGAGGCCTTCAACGGCAACGGCAGCCTCGCGCTCTCCTCCCCCTCCTCCTCCTCCTCCTCATCCTCATCCCTCCTCGACTTCCCCGTGAACCCGTGGGACATCATGCTGTGCCTGTCTGGCACGGTGATCGCGTGCGAGAACGCCATCGTGGTGGCGATCATCTTCTACACGCCGACGCTGCGCACGCCCATGTTCGTGTTGATCGGCAGCCTGGCCACGGCGGACCTGCTGGCGGGCGTGGGGCTCATCCTGAACTTTGTGTTTCAGTACGTGATCTCCTCTGAGACCATCAGCCTCATTACGGTGGGCTTCCTCGTGGCCTCGTTCACGGCGTCCATCAGCAGCCTGCTGGCCATCACGGTGGACCGCTACCTGTCGCTCTACAACGCGCTCACGTACGTGTCGGAGAAGACGCTTCACTATGTTCACCTGATGCTGGTGGGCGCGTGGGGCGCGTCTCTGGGCCTCGGCCTGCTGCCCGTGTTGGGCTGGAACTGCCTGGACGACGCCGAGTCCTGCAGCATCGTGCGGCCGCTGCGGCGCGCCAACGTTACGCTGCTGGCTGCCTCCTTCTTCGTCATCTTCGCGCTCATGCTTAGCCTGTACGTGCGCATCTGCAAGATAGTGTGTCACCACGCGCACCAGATCGCGCTGCAGCAGCATTTCTTCGCCACCTCGCACTACGTGGCCACCAAGAAGGGCGTGTCCACGCTCGCCATCATCCTGGGCACGTTCGGCGCCAGCTGGCTGCCCTTCGCCGTCTACTGCCTGGTGGGCGAGCGCGAGTACCCGGCCGTTTACACGTACGCCACGCTGCTGCCCGCCACCTACAACTCCATGATCAACCCCATCATCTACGCGTACCGCAACGCCGAGATCCAGCGCTCGATCTATGTGCTCTTCTGCGGCTGCTTTCACGCCAACGTGTCCTACCGCTCCAGATCACCAAGCGAGGTCTAGAGCTGCCGGCAGAGTTTCCTTAACAGCACCCAATCAGCGCTCTCGATGCAAAACCTCCTAACAGTTGTTTTTCCTTTTTTTCACTTGTTTTTGCACCATTTGAACACGCCAGCTACCCTTTACATGGTGTGAACTAATGGGCCAATAAAAATGGTACAAGGTTACTAGGAAAAAATCTTTTTACACAACAAAAATATTAGTGCTTTTTCCTGCTCCTGTAAAGTTTCGATGTTACGAGGTTTTGTTACGAGAGCGACGCAGTGTTGCCTTTGCCTTTTACCCCTGCTTCACGTTGACGTGTCTGCTAAAAGAAGGTGTGAATCCAACGCTTGTCTGTCGCGCAATTGCACTTTATGAGACTCGAGCCAGCCAAGAGTCTGTCCCAATGCTGTGAACAACAGACTTTAAGACTTTTTGTGGTCGACGAAGCAACAAACTCAACATCGAGAATGTATTTTTAACCATCGACAGTGGGGGAAAAATAGCACTTTACCATTTACTATTCACTATTTAAGACTTTAAATGCCAAAGCAGTATTGTGTAGGCCTGTATTTAAAGATGAGAGTGATTTGTGTGATGAAGTTTTTTATCTTGTAAAATGATCTATGACTGTATTTTATACGAGACAGAGAACATAAATAAAACAATTCTAAAACGTTCTTTTTGTACTTAAAAGTTCATTTCTCTCACACTGAGTGATCCTTATAGGTGTTGTTCACTGTTTTTCAACCCAAACCTTATTCATAGTGTTCCCCATCATTTGCAGTCATATGCAAAACTTTGGGTGCTCCTAGTTAAACAACATGTTTCATTGAAAATAATTACACATCGTCTACAGAGAACACACGTCTGTACATTGTAATGCACAATTACTGTTTATTTGCTGAATTTAACATATTGGGGGAAAAAAAACATAAAATGTGGCCTGTGCAGAAGTTATGGCACATTTATTATTTGTTTCTTTTTCTTCCAATATGTTAAACTCAGCAGACAATACAATGTGTGCACAAAGATTTGCAGAAAAATGTCATATTTTAAGTTTTTCCCTGTAGGGGATGTTTTGCATACATGGACCATAGCCATAACATCTTGATAGCTTTTGTGCTGAGAAACTTAGTCCTCTGACTGACCCAACCTTCAAAAGACACAATGACCTCTCTTGAAAAAAGGGAGGAAACTTACTTATTTTAGATGTTGTATCCAAAAATTGTCCCAAACCCTGTTTTTTGTTGTTTTATTTAAGGTATTTTGCATTTCCACACACCTGTTCTTTCCTTGTACTATACTGAGTTCTGGGCCATTTCTTGAAGAAAATAAAAGACTAAGTCAACTTTTCAGTTGAAAAGTCAAGTTTCCAATGCTTGTTCTGAAAGCAAGTTTGTGTGTTGATTTTAAATATAGAAATAAGGATGAGAATTAAAGCTGATGGAATGCAGTCTGAAATTTAAGGTGTTAAGGGTGTATTGGACTACAGTTATAACTGGGCAATGACAATTATGACAGTTTTACAAGCACTTAGACCAATATTCAGTACTGAGGTATACCATGATATTCAACACACACAGTATTGTTGTTACGGATGTTATTACATTTTTCATCAAATGAGTTGCAGTTTCACCAGAAATTCTTTAGTTACAGTCCCACTACAGTCATATTGTGATCCCATGCTTTATTTAATGTTTGTACAGCTGTTTAGGGTGACCTTCACAGCTCACGGTTAAAAGGTGCAGTATTATAGGCCTGGCCTGAAAAAGAAAAATCTAGAGGAACCCAAAGACATGATGCCCATAAAGACTGTGAAAACCAGGCTTCCAGAACGAAAATAAAGAATGCCATGTCATTATACAAGGAACAAATTCTATAAAAGGTATAACAATCAACACATAATTGGTATTAAAAGTAACCTTCAGAATATTACATGTATGTCTATAAATCTTACTACATAGTTTGTTGGGTTTTTTGTTTGTTTCACTTGGTAAACCATGATAAAACTTCATGCCTACGACACCCTGTGGACAATGCATTTTCAGCCACTAGTAGGTTCATGTGCATGGTTTTGGCTGGACTTCTTTAAAAAGCACAACAAATCGCTGCGTTTCAGACAGATGTACCCTGTCTGCAGGGCTTATCTAAGACCATGTTTAAACAGCGATTCGTGTGCCCACGCTAGAGCAGAGAGAAGAGAGAAAGCCAGGGGATGCCCCCCCTTTACTCGCCACCCTTGTAAATGGTGTGTTACGGGTGTTGTGTTGCACAGTAAATCTCCATGCGGTCTCCATGTTGACTCACAGCACCATTTTCCATCTATTTCATGGCTCTTGCCCCCTCCAAGATCAGTGGGTGCAGGGACGCACATCGCACTGAATCAGTTGGCTCTGCTTATCCAGCGCGCACGTGGGAGTGTGTGATGGTCTGTAGCAGTGCTGAATGACGCGCTCTGGCGGCTGGTGTGAGGGACTAGTCTCAGTGTTGTCACACACACGAGAACATGGCTCACTGTTTTGCTGGCTTCTATAAAAAGTGACATCACTGATCAGCCCCCAGCTTGACTGTTCTAAAACCATAGGAAGCAGGCTCGTGTCTGGAACACCTCTGTTGTCATCTTCAACAGCCGCTGTCCATTGTGCTGAAATAGCCTCGAACCTTCTGGGCCTTTAGAGTCATAGCAAGCAGATACATTACATGTCCAAAACTATCTAAGCAGCCGTTCTAACTAGTGAACTCAGCTACAGGTGCACTCGTTGCTGACACAGGTGTTCAATTGTGCACACATTGTTTACATACATATAGCACTTTTCTTCTTCTTCTTCTTCTTCTTCTTCTTCTTCTTCTTCTTCTTCTTCTTCCTTTCCGTTTCTTCTCTTCTCTGTCCTTGTTCTTCATCTTCTTGTTCTTCTTCTTGTCCTTATTGTTCTTCTTCTTGTCCTGGTTGTTCATTTTGTTGTTCTTCTGGTCCTTTGTGTTGTCCTTGTTCTTCTTCTTGTCCCTCTTATCCTCCTTCTTCTTTTTCTTATCTTTCATCTTTTTCTTCTCCTTAGGCTTCTCCTTGTTCTTTTTCTTGTTCTTGTCCTTTTTCTTTTTGTTTTCTTTCCTGCTGTCCTTTTTGTTCTCTTTTTCTTTTTCTTATCCTTTGTCTTTTTCTTCTCCTTGTTCTTCTTTTTGTTCTTCTTTTTCTTGTTCTTGTCCTTTTTCTTTTTGTTTTCTTTCTTGCTGTCCTTTTTCTCTTTCTTCTTATGCTTCTTCTTCCACTTCTTCTTCTTCTTCTTCTTCTTCTTCTTCTTCTTCTTCTTCTTCTTCTTCTACTTCTTCTTGTCATTCTTGCCCTCTTTCTTCTTGTTGTCATCCTTTTTCTTGTTGTCCTGGTTCTTCTTCTCCTTGCCCTTCTTGTTTTCCTTGTCTTTCTTCCTCTTCTTGTCCTGGTTCTTGTCCTTTGTTGTCTTCTTCCTTTCTGAAATGACTGCACTTTATTGCATTTTTGAAAGGAATAACTGTAAAAAGGCATGAATCATGTCAAATGTGCTGTTGTGGCAGTGGTTGAGATGCGAATGACCGAGTCTTTCGGTCATTAGCGTTTTGGAGTTTTTGTCACCCAGCAGCCTGCTCCTCTTGACTCGCTGTTTAATGTTTAATTCAGTGGTGCTGGGCCCACTCGCTCTATCTGAATCTCTAATTATCTTTTACAGTCCCACTGTGAAACATCACACTCATGTCTGGCGTCATCGCCATTAGCCTGCAGCATCAGCAATACTGTCATTACTACAGCCAAAACCAGGATATTTTTACAGTTCAGCAGCAGAGCAGATGGTTTTATTTTCCAGCCCCCGTTCCTTTCTGTCTTTGATGTGTCAAGAAAAATCACAGCTACTGAAAATCTTACACCAGTACCCCACACTGACCCAGCACTCTCACTCACGCACACACTCTTCTACTATCTGCTGCTAAATGCTGCCAGTTCCAGAACAATGTATACAATGTATACACATACAGTGATAGATAGAAAGTGAGATCTGTTCAATTTTTGCAAACCTTCGCTGGTGACATGAACCACTGTTGTCTCTGTTGTTGGCATGGTGACACCCAAGATGGCCGATCGACTGTGTCCCAGCAACAAAACCTTTCGGACAACCATTAAAAGAATTAGTCTTCTGCTTCTTCATGGGTGGTGCTGCATCTCCAAAACCAGCTCAAACTGGATTACAGACATACAAGCTATCTGCAAAATTATTCATAAAGTTTTAGCTCCTGAACAAAGTGATTAATCTCTGTTCTCATTTTCCTTTCCCAAAATGGAAAATAGCCTCCCTGATAGCAACAGTTGCCAGTTTAGAAGATCAAACTGTCACTTGTCACTTGAAGATAATCGTATAGTGTGTTTAGTTGTATAGTCTTGATGTGAAAAATCTCATCTAGACATTTCGCGTTTCATGATATATATTCATGCCACGTTCGATGAGTAAATTCAGAATTCAATCCTCTGCAGTTCTGGAGAACTTGTTTCTAGGAGAACGTTTTTGTGATTTTAACATGAAATTCTTTTGCAGATGTATTCTTTTGAGACCCCACATCTATTATAAATAAAAACTCTATAAGGCATGGTGTGCTTACTCCCCAATGCTGTAATTTGTAGATGGTCTTTTAGCTCTCATAGTGGTTACAACAGTTGACAGAAGTCACCGTGTTCTGCATATATTACAGATGCAAAAATTAAAAGGTAGCTGGCTCTCTTGGTTGCTAACAACAATGTTTTACACAAGAATCTTTTTTGATCTACTGTTCAAAAGCTATTCAAGAAATAAATCCAAATGTGCAAAAATAAAACCAACTTCACAGCTCACAAAATGTGTCTCTCTTTCTTTGTCATCAAAAGGCAATGAGTTTCTCTGAGTTTTGCAGGTGTAAACAATACTGAGGTTTACAGGTTTGTCCAGAATATTTGCATAAAATATAACTTGAACTACTCTTGTTAAAGTCAATCTGAATCAGAAATCATAATGCTTTTTATTCTGTACCACCACATGATTCCAAGTGAAACACAGTATCAGGGAGTGTCTTTGAGTTAGCTGAGTGTTACTGGCGATGATGGGTGGAGGTGGTGAGAGAGGGAGGTGCAAGATTATGGTTTATTTTAATTTTCCTGCCTGCTGGTGCATGAAGACATAACCA